TGAAGATCAGGTCACTGATAAGCCCAAAAGAAATAGAGGAGGAAGATGTTAGACAAGCCTGTTCACCTTTGGGTCACAGTTACAGGCAACAGCAAGGCACACAGGATAATGGAAAAACAGAAAACTGATCATATTCAAAGGTATAACGTGTAGGTCTCTTAGAAAGGAATTAGAATCACAGGATTAGACAGTCTGCAGAATACAAATACTTTATTTATTGTTAGAGTGTTAATTTTTTTATTGGAATTATTATCATTATCATTGTAAAAAGTAATTTATTAGTATTGACAATAATTAGATATATTATTATTTGCTATAGTATTTCTTAATTAAAATTTGATAAGGGAAGTTAAACGGGTACATGTACATCTCCGTTTCTGAAGGGGATGGCTAACATTGTTGTCCATTGTTGTTTCCTCTTCCTCACATTTCCCCATCACCAATAGCCATTGTATGTTAAGTATTGCTTATGTATTGTACTGAAATGTACATACACTGGGATTGTCACTCCTCCCACCTCATGCCCTTTGCTGTCCAAAGAATGAATCGACAGGATCTTGATTGAAATGTTCAGAAAGAATGAAGAGGCGTTCATGCTGTGAAAGTATGAAACACAAGCTAATATAAATAAGATGGCTCATTCAATTACCTCACCTGTTATTTTTGAAAACCTTCCAGTGTCTCTTGACTTGAAGTCATTTTCTTCTTTTAATTAGTAGTGAATCCTTCCCTATGTCCTCTGAATAACCCAAGAAGTCATCTTCTAGCCACTAATGGATTACTGAATGGAAAAATTTAAGGCGAATAACTTATATCTTGAATCATTGATGCTTTTGTATGGCTTCAGATCAGTTCTTTTTCCATCAGTTGAATCTCTCTTGTTCATACTGTCAAAGAAATGATTGAACGTGTAACAAAATTTAGCTGTTTCATTATACTTATCATAATCTAATATTTTAAAAGCTGAACTTACAGAATAACTGAATACCTATTAATGGCAATTTATCCAAATGCATAACTACTTATGTACATGTACATGCCTGAGCTGCCAAGTTCACTTTCATTTTGGAAAATGATATTAAGAAAGTATGCTCGTATGCTAGTTGGTGTCCAATGTAAAGACCACTGTCAGCTTGTGTCTTTTAATTAAGAATATGAAGGTGCTCCCAAAATAGATACTTGCCGTTGTTCTGAAAAGTAAATATATTGGAGATAAACACAGCAGACTTACCCACATACATGTACATGTACATCTAATACCACCCATGGCTGAAGAAAGCCAACAGTGATGTGCAGTTTTAATCAGGTATAGAACATCACAGATGCAATATACATGTATAAACCTAATCTATTATGACAGTTGATTGTCAAAATGTAACTCCATCCTTCTTGTATTTTGCAATTCCTATTTGTTTGAAAAACTTTCTACTTGTCTTTGCTCTATCACATACAAATGCAACACCATACATGTACATACATACAGATTATGTTAAAGTAGTCAAAATTTATAGATGTAACAAACTTTAAAATTCATTTCTTTTTCTAAATGTCTCACAGCCACTCAAATAATCGACTGAAAAGAATGACTGGTTGCACCAAGAGAACATAAAACTACATGTACACTTGCAAATATTGCAAGAATTTTAGCAATAACTTTTGTTAGAAAATTGGCATAGGAAAACTTTAGTTTTATTCCCTAACCATTATTGTTAGCATGTAAGTAGCAATCATGTGATTTGGCTTGGTATCATGAGTCACTTGCTTTTCGAATACTTGTAGATAATGATTTACATCTCCAAGATTCACAAAACTGTGAAGTTTTTGTCCTGTTTTATTAAAAGCTAAGTTTTCTTGTATCTTCATTTCATCAAAAACAAAGCTAATAACCTAAGTTAAATAAGCTCAGTATTGATAGCGTACCTCTGCTTGTCCTTAAGTTGATTTACTTTTGTCTACTCCATAATTGAACCCAACCCAGTCATTCAAGGTGTGTCTCATAGGTAACTCAATGCCTGATTTATGCATTACTTTGGTAACAAGCGTGACAGGTTGAGATACTGTCTCAAAAATATAGGATGCCAACGCATTCCTTTCTCTCCCTTTACTTTCGAAGCAGCTACCTATATTTTGAATTATTTGTGTCAAGGAAATATTTTGATTTCACTAGCCTGCTGTTCCCAAGAAACTCGTTGAAAATCTGACAAAAGTAAAGATTTCATTTCAGCGACCCTATCCTTTATAACTGCTTCTTTCTCACAATTTAATTCTTCGTCAGTCTCAACCCTTTTTCCACATGCCAATGACTCAAGCTTTTGCTTCATTCTAGCTATTCTCTTTTTACACATCTCCATAGCTTTGCGAAGTGCTTGTAGCATCTTCATATGCCTAGACATTTAATGCTCATTAATAAATAAGGGGTTGATATCTACAATACTTACTTAAAATTTGTAGTTCTTTTCTGAATAGTACTATCAGTCTTTTTTGAACGAAAGCACGGAGCAATCAGTATGCTTTGATAAGCTGCACACTGTACACACCTAATATTGTCACTGAGCAGTTGATAGCTGGAACACTGAACAATACATGCATACTCCTACTGACACACAAAACCCAGTATCCAGATAGGCAACATCAGTTTTATCATCTGATAATATTGGAAATTCTTTTACTCTTTGCTAGTCAGTAAACCTTTAATCAGGGTTTCCAACACAATTACTAAGAGTTGACAACCTTTTCAGATGATCAATCAGTGACTCATGCAGGATTTATCTCTGAAGGTATTTGAGAACACTTTGTGTGTGTGTCTACATGGTGGCCATTTACATGCTCTAAACATGATATATCAGACTTGACTACATGTGCAACTGATTCAGACACTACCTGTGGAGAAAGACTTAGATCGTCCTGCAAAGGTTACTATCCAGTCAGTTGGTAGAATTGGATTTTTTCTTGACAACATTGGCTTTTCTCTTGGATCCAATCCTTCCTTTACTCCTCTTACCATGGCCTTTCTTCCATTTCTCACCACGCTGCTTGTATAAAATGGAGAATTCTGTGCAAAAGATTTAAGTATAAATATACCTAATTAATATACTTTTCAGTTTTCTATGTGTCACAAACAAGATGTATTTCAGTATAAATAATCAGTAATGATGCTCCTTTAAATTGATTATTGTATAAGTAGTGAAGAAATGTGTCAAAAAGTAGGGTACCTGTTAATAATTGTTATACTTGCAAAATTGTTATTTTTGAGTCTCAAGTTCAAAGAAAAGTAGTCTAAACAATAAAGGGAGTGTTATTATTCCTAAATTTACGCACTTGGTACTACTCAGTGGGCGGTTAAAAATTCAACAAGCTTGAAAGTGGAATGGACCATGTTTTGGCATTGTATGTCTCTATGGCTGTTTCTCAGCCATAGCAGCCTGTAACTATGCAAGAAGTTAGCAGAGTCCTGTCAGAAGTATGTGTAAGATAATCCAGTGAATGAATTTCTTCAAGCTACATGGCTCACTAACTGTAACACGCTCTGTTTGAAGGATGTGACGTCACTTTTTGATCTTTGTACAGCACCATGTATCAGTTTCCTATCCCTGTCCACAAAACTATGATTTGATGGTAGACTAAGGCCCTGTTTACTTATTTAGATATGATATAAAATAGTCTTGGCTTCTCCTTTTAGTCGTATTCCTTGTCCTGTCTTATGTTAGTCTAGTTTGTACAACTTTACACTATACCCTCAAAGAGGTTTGAAACAGGTTTAGAAATAAATCAGTTTGTGTGGAAAATTTCAATGTGGTGAGAAACAGACTTATGTAAATCACCTGAGGAGGTAGTTTGAGATAATCAAAACTTGTTTAAGTACTGAAGGAGCCGTATTATGTATGCAATGTAGCATTATGAACTGATTTAACCAAAGCTACATGTGGACACAATTAAGCTGGTTTCTGAACTGCTTTCATCCAAACTGGTTTGCAGACATGGGGTCAATTACATTAAAATGTACTCTATTACAATTACTTTTACTAGAAAATTTTTGATATTATATTACTATTACATTACTTGACTAAACTTAAGTATTTATAATATATCACTATTACTTGACAATCAATTCCTATTACTATTACTATTACTTTATTACTGTAATTGGATTATATTACGATTACTTTTACGTGAAGGTACATGTACATAAATAAAAGCTTTTTGAAACAAAAAAATGCTCCTACACATGACTAAGCAACTTGAATAGACTTGGGTGTGCCACAAAGTTCCTCCCGACAGTGGTACTGACAAACTGACGCTTAGTGATTTCTATGAACTGTCAAGTGCAGCGTGCATGTAATCAACACCTATTATATCATAATTTCTATTACAATTACTATTACTCAGAGTCTGTTTCATATTACTATTACTATTACAATGGATTTGGTTTCTGTTATATTACTATTACACAAATATTTGTAATCATTACTATTACTATTACTATTACTATTGCATATTACCCCATGTCTGCTGGTTTATAGTGTAAATGTGAACTTTCCTCATTTACTCACTTTGCCCACTTGATTGTGCACATGGGTGGCTTAAGTTGCGTAAGTGCTCATTAAGTGGACTTGTCCTTTGATAAATTTGTCTCTTACCTATTTTACAAGCTCTCCAGCATTTGTTTTGCAACAGTAAAACACCACTTTCTTTTGCTTTAAAATTAGGAAAGATTTCAAATTTCAAGTCTGTGTCATCCTAGTACAGCATACATGCATGTGTGACAGGGAAATGTTATCTGTTTCTAGTCAAACTGCTGAATTTAAGTATAGTTAATATTACGAAATAATTTTGAGGAGTGTGAGGTAGGAATATTGACTTTAAGAAGTATATCATTGTTACTCTTACTTTAATTATAAAAGATGAATTACACATTGACCTATTGTTAACTAAGTGTCCCTATTGTCTTTTTAGTTTTTTTGTTATTGTTTTTAAAATATCTATCTCCTTTCTTTTTTCTGTAGTTATCTTTCAATGGCTGAGTGCAATTTCAGCGACACCACCAGCAACATTTTTGTAAGTGAAAGAATAATATATTACATGATGTAATATTAGGAGCTGTCTAATGGCCCTAAGGGTTGCTAACAGCAACTTGGTGACAAAAGACAGAATAATATGCATTGAAATTTTTTGCCACATTCCAAATAGATACAGTACACCAGTTTATTTCCATGGCTTGCAAATCTTGCATTTCTAAGATTTTGTTGAATTAATTTTTGAAAATAGATTGCAGACTGCAGCATGTGGCAATAGAAATGCAGAATTTCGCGGTGGAAAAAAATTTCACAACAGAGTAAGGAACTGTGAAATTTGCAAAAATATTTCTCCATAATAATAAACCGGTACATGGTATTTGGGTGTGGGACACAGCTACCTCTTAAAATAGCAGACAGGGAGAAACAAATGCCTTGTTAAAGGCATTTGCATTGTAATTTTTGGGTATTTATTTTATGGTGAGATTATGATAGCCTGATCATGATAATGTTTTCCTACTCCCATTGTGTAACAAATTTATTCACAGAGTTATGAGTTTTCTAAAAATATGTTACTCTTGTTGGTGGGGGTGGCTAAGATTCATGTCACAGGAGGCAAAAATGTAGACAAATCCTTCCCCTATTGGGATCATTAGCTTTCATAATTCTAAGCATGCAACTGCAAGAAAAAGTCTTGTACCACAAGTAGGACAATCTTCTTCTTTGGTACTTTGTCTTGTAGTGCTGGGCGATAGTACTACTATCACTATCACGATCGATAGTTACAAAACTATCACGATTTTGAATACTATCGCGATTTCACTCAAGTATTTGACCTCAAATTAATAATGATTATAATAAAAGTAGAATAAGTTGTATAGATGTAGCTAATTGTTTAGATGATAAAGTTAAGAGATTTTGACAGAAAAAAGCAACTACTGAACTGTATATGGCTGCAGAAGTATCATAACAATAACCTAAAATAGCCCCACACTGTCTAGTTGACTCAGTAAGTGGCAAAAGCTGTCCTTTAAAACTTAGAAGAAGCCATCTTAGTGTTACACAAACTGTCTGACCACATGTTTGTACAACTGTGCATGCACATTAGATAACAGTGGTATTTGATAGTAAGGCAATTTAATATCACAATGGTGATAGTTCTGTACTGTCACGATAGTGATGACTATCAATACTGTCGCCCAGCTCTATTGTCTTGCAGTTGCAGACATTTAAATTACTACTATAATTTTTACATTATAAGGCATTAGAACAAAGGTCATTTACTCCTATAAAGGAATGGGTTTGGCATCATTTCCACCTCTTGTGACATGACTATCGATACTGTTGCCCAGCTCTATTGTCTTGCATTTAAATTGCTGCTATAATTTTTGCATTATAAGGCATTAGAATAAAGGGTCATTTACTCCTATAAAGGAATAAGTTCGGCTTCATTTCCACCTCTTGTGACGTTCCATATAGCCACACCAAACAACAGGAAGTAACATAGAATTATATTGTTACAGACTCGTATCCCTGTGAATTATTTTTTAGACAATGGAAGTTTAAAGGAATCATTATTATGGTCAGGCAATTATATTAAGACGATAAGATGCACACCAAAAAAATACACTGCAGTGGCCCCTTGTCACATTTTGGACATTACAAAGCTGTGGATTTTCTTACTTGTCTAATGAAAATAAGGTGCAATGTCATTTCTCAGACAAGAAACTGGCTGGCCCTATTTATGGAACACTACATTCTCTATTCCTCTTGTGCTCAGTGCCAATAAAAGACTGCATTAAAAAGCCCTTTGTGTTGGGATAAATGTAACACTTAAGATGCTCACAGCTTCTTTCATGATTAGATCCTTACTTGTCCTGCCTGTGCCATCTTTGTGAAATACGAGGAAGTAGTTGTCACAAGTTTTGAATAGCTTCAGTGTTTCTGATTGAATGCATTATGCACACATTCTTTGGTGTAGTAATTATCCATGCAATGACTTTTAGGAAGGTCAGACGTTTTGTAACATATGGCTTCAACAGTTTTCCAATTAACACAACTCATTACATCCTTTTTGTGTGCGTACAAAACAAGCTTGATATATGCATGTACATGTGTATATCTGTAACAAATTCTTCTGGCTCACAAATTTAGTTTCTCCCTTTGTTTTTTCTTCCTGAAAAGCTGCCTCTGTTGGCACAGGTCTCTTGTGGAATTTCTCTCATTCTCTTGCTAACATCACGATCAGCAGCCTGTTAAATACATGTAAGTAGCCTACGTGCTGAAGGTGAGCCCTTGTCCAGAGCCTTTCATGTGCATCATCATGATATAAGCAACATACCGGTACATGTATTAACGGCCAGTTTGTTTTTTATCTATTTACAGTCACCTCCCATTTGGGCACATTGACGCTCTGGATTAGTGACCTTCAATTACATGCATCACTCCTAGCCATGTTACAATAATAATAAAGTTGTTGTGACTCATGAAGTGGTAATAGTTCGCAACAATTGATAAATGCAGCCAACGTTATATTGTATTAAAACCAAATTGTTGCTTTATTTTGATTGTGTAACATTAATTTTACATCCACTTTAAATGGAAACTATCAATATTTTTTTAGGAAGTTGAAAGCATTGTAGCCCGGAGGACGGTGGACGGGAAGAATGAATATTTAGTGAAATGGAAGTATCACACAGGGGCAATGTGGACAAAGCTCCATAATTTGCAATGTTTGGAGGCTATTCTTAATTTTGAATGTTTTAAGGAGAGGGCTGTAGCTAGTAATGAGCTCAAAGCTTGCACAATTACAACTGACGGTCAAGTGTTTATAGAATGGTAAGCATAACCCTGCTGCATTATAAATTAAGCTTTTACATTTGTATTTGTGATAATAGGAATAATCCCATTAGCAGTCACTTGCTGAGGCTACCAGTAGATGTTGTAGAGAGGGTTCGTTCGTTACTTGAGGTTTGTTTATGTTTCATTATTCCTAGTTCGTGTACATGTATTTTATAGGAAGAAGTGTTTATAAGGGTGGGAAATTATGATGTTAGGCCCAGTGGTCCTCACCCACCTGGCCTGCTAGAATTGCTTTGTGGGTTTAGAGACCTTCGGCATATGCAAGGCTGTTTAAAACCAGTCGAATTAGAAATGAAGTATGCCTGTTTCTCAATCTCTTATAATATCACAACATTAATTTTAGGTCCAATACTACAGATTCCGATATAACATTCAAATATTTTATTACGGCTCTGCAGCAGTTTGTATTTGAGAAGTGTATCTACAATAACTGCGAAGTTACATTGTACTCAAAAGTTGAGCCAATACTCTGGATGGCCACTAAGGATATGCCAGGTTATTGCATGAAAAGTGTCCATCTAGTACTAGGCTCAAGCTAAGACCAGGGTTGGGGTCAATTACTTGAGACTTACAATTTTGCAAGTTTTGATCTACTTCAAGCACTAATAATTCAGTGCTTTGAATTTGATTATAACAATAAACATAAATGTAAGTAATAATGCTAGTACTGGCACTTAAAGCACTTATCAATTTTATGCATTTTAAAGCAACTTAAGCCTTAAATAGTTGATGGCAGTTGTATATTCTAGTTTCTCTAGCCAGACCAGTCTCTAACAAGCCAAATTTCGTCGATATTGGCTAGGAGAGAATTCTTCAATTTTATTTGTCACATAAACATGTTCCTAATGTATGTACATTATATATTCGATGCTATATGTACACATATTTGAAAATCCTTATGTACATGGTCTCTTTTGTACGTAAATGTTAAAAAATATTCATAATTTAATTGCATGTAACACAAGCAAAATGTTTCAAAAAGGAGAATTAAAGATGTATCCTGCACTTGCTCAAATGCACAGCTTACAGCATGGCAATCGTAAAAGAAGTACTTCTTACCATTTAATGTAGCTAGTGCTTGAAATGATGCTTGAATTGTGCTGATAAGCAATGGTGTTAGGTATGTTTAAGCAATACAAAGTACATGTAGCTTGTACTTATGACTTGAGCCAAAGAAACTATATGCAACCCTTTGTGCTCCTACATAGACTTAAGTAATATTATAATGATTGTGTTATGACTAAGCCCGGACAACATGTTGTTAGCAACATTTGTTGTTGCTTTGATCTCTTGCTGCAAAATTAGAACTGATTTCTATTCTTAGCAACATGTTTATTACAAGATCAAAGTAACCTCAGTTGTTGCTAGCAACATGTTGCCTGGGGCTTTAAGCAGTCGGAAGTGCATGTATTATATAATGTACGTACATAACAAATATTTTATTTCTGATAATCAAATTTAGTTTCTTTTACATGTGTGATAAGTCAAATTAAACTTTACAACTAAAAAAATGTAATCACCATAGCTGGTTACCACTTAATTTTTAGTATAACACTGTTAGTACTGTATATTGATCAATACAATATTTGTTTGTGTTTCTTGGTTTTTTCGTGTACGACAAGTTTAGAACCAAATAAGTCATTACAGTACCATTTCCAATGTCATTGATTGTAGACAAGTAATAGGATAGGAATTTATTGTGTTTGGCTTCAATATGTGGGTGACTGCATGTATCAGGATTGGGGCTGATAATCGATTGTAATCATTATATATTTTAACATAATCGTAATCACATTTCAAAATTAAAATAATCGTAATCGTAATTGTAATCACTTTTTGTGAAGTTTCATAATTTTAATCGTATTGTAATCATGCCCTTAATTACGGCATTCAAATATGTTCATTTAATTGCATATTGATAACAATAACACCTGCATGCATCTAGAGGATCTGTTGAGTGGTTGTTGCCTATCAAATATTATGTTTAAAAAAACTCATGTTTTTAAGATGCAGTACTGATTTTGGCAGTAATTTTTCATACATTTATATCGTTATATCTAATACAGGCACGTAATTGTAATTGTAGTTATAATCATACCAAATGGCAGGGGTGTAATTGTAATTGTGATCACTTTTAATGATGGGTGTGTAATTTGTAATTGTAATCACTATACATGCTGTGCCATGTAATCATAGGTGTAATCATAATCATGAATTTGTAATTGACCCCAACCCTGAGTCATGTATACTTATAGCCAAACTATAATTGTAACTATACTGAGTACAAATGTATTTCCATGTACCTTTTCACCTTGAAAAGGGGAGACTTAAATTGGCATACCCTTTTTCTTTAGGTGTAAAAGTGGAATGTGGATTCAATGTCAGAGGTACGAAGTACAAAGAGGATATTGTTGTGGTCAGAAAGAACGTCCAGGGAGAGTACATTCCGTTTTTCATAATTGAATTAAAACCTCTAATTCATAGCGACATTAACGGCTGCTCTTTGCCAGATGTGAATGAATGTCTCCTATATGGAAAATATATCATTGAAAAATATAAGTCAGATGAAATGTCCTTGTTGTGTGCCCTTACAGATGCGCAATGCTGGCATATTTTTGATTATAATGGTATTGGGATAGATAAGTATTTTCAATTTTCGAATGGGAAGAACTACTTTCTCATGCACGGATATCTACGTCAACTGATCCAGTCTAAATTTGATGAGCTTTCGTGAACATTTCATCCTCATTTCTTCCTTCTCACTCTCTCTTTCCTCCTCTCTCTACTTATTATTATTATTATTATTATTATTATTATTATTATTATTATTATTATTATTCTTAAACAAGTGACAGAAAGACATTATTATTATTCTTATCATTATTATTATTATTATTATTATTATTATTATTATTATTATTAAACAAGTGAAAGAAAGACATTATTATTGTTATTATTATTCTTATTATTATTATTGTTATTATTGTTGTTATTCAACAAGTGAAAGAAAAACATTATTATTATTATTATTATCATTATTATTATTATTATTATTGTAATTATTATTATGTCTCTACTCTTGATTGACTGCAATAATTATTGATTAATAATAATTATTGATTTTAAGAAGTATTTTCAATTATCTCCTTAAGCATGTTCAAAATTAATGCTACTGCCATTACATCATTTTTACTAAATACTGGTACACGATACATGCCCACGAGTTGGAACATGGACCAGGCCTGATACAGGCCTGAATCATTACTGATGATAGATGATTGAAACTGGACCGAGAATTTGGAGCAATGCCCTGATCCAATATCGACATATCAGCCAGAATTTATGCTGTATGCCAGGCAGGGTTGGGGTCAAGCACCCAGATGCTTAAGCACAAGCACTTTGAAAAGGGCTTAAAGCATAATTAAATTTTAATGGCTTCTATGACTAAAGTGCTTAAGCACAAGCACTTTAATGATTACAATTGTATTATGAATCTAGATGTCTTTTTTGCTATTCCAAACAACTTCTTCATGAGTGCTAATGCTAACTTACTACACAGTGGTCATGTGTTGGATTAGAATATCTGAGACTGTACGTACTCTTTGTGCTACCAACTCAAAATAGTCTGCTTAATGCTTTAATTTAAAATGTGCTTATAAGCAGCAAAGTGCTGAAGCACAAGCATTTGTGCTTTAATGAGATTAAGTGCTGGAAAGCATTGCAAGCACTTATAAGCACAAGCACTTATGACATAAGTACATATGACATAGCACTTATTTTTTTATGACATACACTGTCACAATTATTCATTATTAAGGTGTTATATTTTACACTTTAACAGTTAACAATTTTTATTACAACAATATGGTATTTTAATGACATAACTGATGTATTATCTAATGGTGAATGATACAATCCAAGTGGATGGTAGCCATATAAAAGACTAATCTCGATAATTTCTTTAGTTTGTGAATAGTTGACTTCATATGCATGTATATGACTTACAAAACATAAAGTATTGAAAGCAATCAAATATAGCTAAGGCGGGGTGAGTATCGCTTAATTGTAGCTCTTTCCTCTTCTCATTCAGAAATGGATTAATAATATTTGTTACATATCTTTTCATAGTTTCTTCAGGCGACCAATGATTCTGGGAGTGCCATATATCCCACCCTTCGGGAGATTCAACTTTAGGATGACAACGAGGGGTAGTGCCTTTGAAGATTAACTGTGGACAAAGGTACTCTCCAGTCAAAGTTACTGCAAAAACTCCTGTTATCTGGCGCTTATCGTCTGAATGAACTATAGGAGTAGTTTTAGCACCCTTTTCATGCATGGTCCAATTACCAGTTGGAATATATTGCAGAGCTGTCTGGTCCCAATTTAAAACCATGTGTTTAGGGATGTCATTCATTAGGACTTCTGCTATGATGTCAGCTAAAAATTCCCGTCTTCGTTCTTCCAATTGATCTACAGTTATTTTTCCCGCATTAGAGCATTTGCGTTTGACAAACCCCATTCTTTGCAGTATCGATTTTCCCCATGATTTTGTAACTTCCACATGACCACCATGCTCTACAAGGATTGAAGGACACCTTGCTTTTATAATTCCTATTGCAGCTGACATTACTGCATCTGTTGATATAACTCCCCAGTTTTTCGTAAACTCTCAATGAAACTTTGCACTGCTTTATCAAGATCATCTCCTAAAAGCAATGGTCTACCTTGACATTTTTTAGGAAGTACTGTTAGACTTTCAGGGTGTTTTGATTATAAGGCCTGCAAATACTCATTTCTTAGACGACGAGCAGTAGTTTCAGGTAATGGATCATCCATGATTTTTGTGAAATGTCTCACTGCTCGATCAGGGCCATTTTCACAGGCATAGCGACCAATAGCTGCTCTTTCCTCTGATGAATAATTATTGTACTTGCCTCGCTTCCCACATTTTTTCTTTGCTGCTTCAATAGTCTTCTTCACTTCTTCTTGAGCCCCTTTTTCCTCCTTCGATGACAGTACAGTTTTCTCAACTTTTTTGAAATGTACATGTATTAACAGGTTCATACTTCTTCTTCAGCTGGGCGCGTGTTTAACTTTCCTCACTGCACTATAGCTATTAGTTAATTAATTGCTTGTAGCCACACCCACTGATTGGAATTAATATTGACAGTTAATAATTTGGCGGTATCAGTTTACAACCGCCAATCTGTCAAAATAAAATACGGTATAAATTATTATGGTCACTGAATCTGACCTTTTGGTTAGGAGTGTGAGGTTTCAGTTGTTTCTGTGTGGTTGGTACATTACTTCTAAGGTTTCTACCCATTAACAGCTCAGCAGGATTATAACCAATTTTTAATGGTGTAGAGCAGTATGATAATAGAGCTAAATAAGGATCCTTGGACTTTAATAGCCATCTCTTTACAGTCTGTATGGCTCTCTCAGCCCTAATTATTGTTCATCTTAAAAAATTAAGAAGGTGATCGAAGAATGTTTTCTCTCTTAGTTGATCTAGCATGTTTTTTAACGACATTTTAACTTAATTAAAACTTCCTTGGCCAGGTTTTTAATACTTACATTAATTTTATTTGAGCTGTTTTCTGCTTGTTTCCACTCTTTATTTAATCACATTAATGCAAATCCTTGTTGTTTTTGATGACTTTGATCCATGTTCAGGTTCTTGAGCAATGAAGCAATGTACATGTATTTTTTTATTCTCTTCAATAATAGGTTTATCATGTCAATTATCATCAATTGGACAGAGCGAAGTCCCTTTCAAATTTCTGGAGTGAGTAGTAAAGTTTTGTACAACAAAAATTACATTCATTTTAGTTTTTATAGAATCCTCTGGGTACCGTAACTGCATGTATCTGAAACAACAGGACAATGCGTAAGTGACCAGTAAGAATATCCTCATTTACAGCCCTATATTATAGAATTGCAGTTCTTTATTATCTTGAAAGTGTAATTTTTGTATCACAGCCATTTAATTTTGGCATAGTAGTAACTGGGAGATTATTTTCAGTCATTTTGGCAGATTCTTAAAGATGGTTCTTTCTAATTTCTGTATAATAGGAAAAAATAGCCACTTAATCATTTTGATAGAATTTCATTTTCTAGTACATTGAATTAGTCATGCATGTACCTATATATTATTTGGAGGAGTTGGAACATTGTACATGTACACTGCCTTGCTTGCTTGGGCTAAATTTTAATAAGTACAAGTAAATAAAAAACATTAAAAATGGAAAAGTGGTAGGATTGATTCGGAAAAAGGTAAAGAAACAAGAGGGTACTTGCAAACTGGTGATGTAAGAAATCCTACACCACTGCATGAAAGACGAGGCATCATGTATAGTTCAGTATCAGGTAGTCTGTGTGGAATTACAATGCTTTCGGGTAATATTCTTCATGCAGTGGTGTAGGATTTCTTACATCACCAGTTTGCAAGTACCCTCTTGTTTCTTTACTTTTTTCCGAATCAATCCTACCACTTTTCCATTTTTTAATGTTTTTTATTTACTTGTACTTATTAAAATTTAGCCCAAGCAAGCAAGGCAGTGTACATGTACAATGTTCCAACTCCTCCAAATAATATATAGGTACATGCATGACTTATTCAATGTACTAGAAAATGAAATTCTATCAAAATGATTAAGTGGCTATTTTTTCCTATTATACAGAGATTAGAAAGAACCGTCTTTAAGAATCTGACAAAATGACTGAAATAATCTCCCAGTTACTACTATGCCAAAATTAATACAAAAATTACACTTTCAAGATAATAAAGGACTGCAATTCTTTAATATAGAGCTGTAAATGAGGATATTCTTACTGGTCACTTATGCATTGTCCTGTTGTTTCAGATACAGTTGCGGTACCCAGAGGATTCTATAAAAACAAAAATGAATGTAATTTTTGTTGTACAAAACTTTACTACTCACTCCAGAAATTCGAAAGGGACTTCGCTCTGTCCAATTGATGATAATTGACATGATAAACCTATTATTGAAGAGAATAAAAAAATACATGTACATTGCTTCATTGCTCAAGAACCTGAACATGGATCAAAGTCATCAAAAACAACAAGGATTTGCATTAATGTGATTAAATAAAGAGTGGAAACAAGCAGAAAACAGCTCAAATAAAATTAATATAAGTATTAAAAACCTGGCTAAGGAAGATTTAACTAAGTTACAATGTCGTTAAAAAACATGCTAGATCAACTAAGAGAGAAAACATTCTTCAATCCCCTTCTTAATTTCTTAAAATGAACAATAATTAGGGCTGAGAGAGCCATACAGACTGTAAAGAGATTGCTAATAAAGTCCAAGGATCCTTATTTAGCTCTATCATCATACTGCTCTACACCATTAAAAATTGGTTATGAACCTGCTGAGCTGTTAATGGGTAGAAACCTTAGAAGTAATGTACCAACCACACAGAAACAACCGAAACCTCACTCCTAACCAAAAGAAGGTGAGATTCAGTGATTATAATACACCATATTTTATTTTGGCAGATTGGTGGTTGTAAACTGATACCGCCAAATTATTAACTGTCAATATTAATTCCAATCAGTGGGTGTGGCTAAAAGCAATTAATTAACTAATAGCTATAGTGCAGTGAGGAAAGTTAAACACGCGCCCAGCTGAAGAAGTATGAACCTGTTAATACATGCATATTTCAAAAAAGTTGAGAAAACTGTACTGTCATCGAAGGAGGAAAAAGGGGCTCAAGAAGAAGTGAAGAAGACTATTGAAGCAGCAATAAAAAAATGTGGGAAGCGAGGTAAGTAC